CACTGGAGATATGGGGGTGGTGGGGAAGCAGGAGAGAGGACCAAGATGCATGTCTGGCTGGGCACCACCATAGTCTGCATTTGGATATTGTAGCCAGTGGCCATGATATGTACCTTCCCAAGTCACACTATAACACTACCTTGGGCACCTCAGTGATTTGAGTTGAAATGTGTCATTGTGTTTAAATGGCTCTAATGCCTTTTAATCCACTGTTGAGCAGGGTATGCTCTAGTCTAGTGATGGAGTTCCTGGCCAATGAGCACTGTTTACAAATGAAGATACAGGGCATTGATAAGGGCCTGATTATCTTGAAGAAGCCAATTCTTCCTCATCTTCCCATTTCCTGTTCTGGAATCTGCATGGCCAGTACTGATAAGTTTCAGATGAGGAGGCTGCCCCACCTCTAGGCCCAGGAGGTTTGGCAATGTATTAATCTCTTTGTTTTGGAAAAGACAGGAAGTTGTCTTGACTTTTTTTTTTTCTTGTTTTTTTCCAGCTCAGTTCTCTTTCTTGGCAGAAGGTGCTTGTTAATTATCAGAGTCTCTTCCTGATGGCAAGGAAGGAGATGGAGGGTTTTTTTCGGATAACTGGTTTATTGGAAGAAAGCCTTGGGTTGAGGAATCAGGAGGGAAAATGTACCATTATTCATCCTCAGACGGACCCCTAGCTGAGCATAATGACCTGGAAGCCACCCTGGGAACCACAGATGGATGACAGAGTTAGCACTCTGGGCTCCTCCAGTGTTCGTGACTGGCTGATGATGCTTCCCAAGCCAGCAGTGTCTCTGTCCTCACCCTGCCTTCTGTGTACACTCATGCTAAGCTCTCTGATAGGGCCTGGTGAGTTTTCAGGGCTTCAGAGCAGTGCTAATAAGGACCCATACTGCCAGGCCAGCAATAATGACATATATTGCCTTCTGACCAGTGTTGATGAGGGTGGATGAAAGTGCCATGCAAAGCTAGATCAGGGAAGAGCCCTCTATGGGGCAGGTAGAACAGGCAAGCAGAGGTTTCTGGAGCTGTGTGTGTGTTCACTGGCCCCGGTGTTGTCCACATGGAAACAGTGCATAGACAGAGCTGGGTACCACTTCCCAGGGCTTTCTGTGCAGCCTGTGAATTTGGAATGCATATTCACATTGGGTAGTGCCATGGATATAACATGCATTGTCTTATCCTTACAGAAAGGTTGCACGAAGAGAAAGGAAACAAATAGCCTTTTGCATTAGGCCACATAAAGCGTTCCCCAGCATCCATTTCCTGAATTTTCTTTCTCTAGAAGCAACACATCAATAGAAGCATAGGAGTTTATATTTTAAGACTTAAAAAAAGTTCTTCCAAATTAAGGTCATCTCAAACACTAGGTACCATGGATTCTTCCTATGACTGTGACCAACAGGAAGTCCAGCCCATCCCCAATCCTTTGCTGCAGCAGAGGAGAGAACAACATTTATTAGCAAGAGCTTATGCCAGGGTTAGGGGATTTGTGTACAGAATAAACTAGATTAACCTGTGCATTGGGTAAGCATGCACACCAGCAAATTACCACTCTCCCCTCTAAATTTGTAGCACTGTCTCTCTACTGTTCACTTGGCAATTAATCAGTCTTCTGTAGACTCATCATTTCTTTCATGCCATTACCTCAGTTTCTAACACCATCATGTATTCTTATTTAACTGTGGGGATTTTCTCAGGTTGGTGGCAAAAACATTAAAGGAAAAATACTAGAGATAGCATTAACTAATAATCACAAACTTCTTGGAAGGGTGAGGGGTTTTTGCATAGTTTCAGTAGAAGTTTTGACTGAAGGCAGCTTAAATCCCCTTTACATTTAGGTAATAAGAAAAGCAAATAGCTAGAGTACGTGGATGAGTTTATCAGAATAACTTGTTTACTCATGTGGTCTTAAAATTAGCCTTTGAGCCAGAAGGCCCTCTTTGGGGGAGGTCGACCAGCGAGATTACTTTCCAATGGTGTTTGTTTTAGGCTCAGAAGCTGGCCTTTAATCTTTCTCCACAAGTGTGTTGACTTAAAGTCTTTGTTATTAAATCTATACTGAAGAAATACAGAGAGGGCCAATTATTCAGGGTCATGTAGCTGCAGTCTCTCTCTATGAATGGCTCACTAGCCCCTAGTCCACTTGTTCACTGGAAATTTGTGTCTGAGTGCATTTATTCATCTGTTATGCAGCTGGGGTCTGTGGGATGGACCCTGGCATTTAACTACTCAACATGGTTTAACTTTTGTAAATATTTGACCTATCTCTGCAAATGGACTATAGGCTGTTCCAGAAGGAGGTTCTTGGTGTTGTGGCTCATTTAATGCAGTCTATTAAGAGCCTATATTCTTCTTCCCTTGGCAAAAGTCACTTTCTGTTGTTCAGGAGTTTTTATAGTGGTACTCTACTATAGTAGATCCTGGAACCCCTCCTGGATCAGGTACCAGAATTATGAGTCAGGTACAATCTGAGTGAGGAAGGACTTGCTCATACATTGTGTTTGTACTTTGAAAGTCCACAGTTATGCCTGTATAATGGGGAGGGAGAGGTCCCAAAGAATACAAACCTTGAAACAATGAAGAAAGAGACTGGCTACTGGCTGTGTGCATTAAATACACAGAAAGTTAAAGCAAGATGGACTACAGGATGAGATGCCTTTAGATGAGCAGGTAAAAATCAAGGCGTCTCCTGTGGGTAAAACTTTCCCGGAAACTGACCAAACAGGGAAGACAGAAATGTGTTGAGCTGATTTACAGGAACTGGGGCTGCAGACACCTGAGATATAAAGGTGCTTGCAATGACCTCAGACCATCTGAATGTCTTTGGAGACAGGAGGATAGGCACTGTCCTTGACTAGCACCAAACCTAATACTGAGAAGTTTTTGAAACATAACTTTAATGCAACACACAGAAAATGTGTGTTAGGGCACCCACCCAGAGAAAAGGGTCAAGATAGAGTTCTGAAAAAGGACCAGAATCGCTACAAATGTAGATTGGTGCTAAAGTGAATGCAGGATCATAGAAAAATAGAGCCTTGCCCAGGTGTGGTGTCTCATTCCTGCAATCCTAGCACTTTGGGAGGCCGAGGCGGGAGGACATCTTAAAGCCAAGCATTAGGCAATAAAGTGAGGCTCTGTCTCTGTTAAAACATTTTAAGAATTAAATGGACATGGTGGCATGCACCTGTAGTCCTAGCTACTTGGGAAACTGAGAGAGGAGGATCGCTTGAGTGCAGGAGTTTGAGGCTGCAGTAAGCTATGATCATGCCACTGTACTTCAGCCTGGGTGACAGAGCAAGACCCTATCTCTAAAAGAAAAAGTGCATTATATACAAGTATATATAATGTACATATGTAAAATAATTTTATTTACCAAGGAAAAATAGCATCTTAGCATGTAAAGGGTACTTTGAATTCTGTAACCACTGGATTTTTTTTTACCTGGAAACAGAGACAAAAGCGGTAGAGTGACTTGACTAAAATCCATCAGAGACACAGCTAGGTTTAGAATCATTCATATATTCATGCACTCATTCAAAAACATCTGTTGAATACCTAGGGGGCCCCAGCCATGGTTCTAGCCCTGGATCCAGGTTTCTAGACTCCTAGACCAGTGCCCTACCCATCATGAGGCCTCCTACCTTGATCTAAATCTGAAAAGCATGTTTGGCGTCAGATTCAGACAAAGATGGGCCCGCTGATCCCCAAGATAAAAAACCAAGCTCACTTCCAGATCTAAAAGAAGAAGATGAGTCAAGGAGGGAGTAGCAGAACTAGTTTTACTGATTCAGTTCCAGATACAAATACAACTTAGCATTTTAAAAGCTTATGACACTATATTTGTGTTGGTCTTTACCCAAAATAGGTACTTGGTATACAAACTCTACACACTAGAAATGAGTTTCTGTACCTTTTGAATACAAAGAGTAGAGAGAAGGTGGGGAATGGGGATAAGCCAGGTGACAGGCAGGATGGGGAGTGTGAGAGGAGAGAAAGCTATGAGGAAAAGAAAGGTGCTGTTGACAGGAAAAGAGATTTGCTAGGCTGAAAGAGGACTGAAGGTGGTTCTCTAGTTTTATCTGGTAGAAGCCCATACCTGTCCCACTGGGTATGGAATGAATTCATGGAACTTAAGCTCAAGACAGGCCCCATTTCAGAAGGTTCTTCTGTCCCTGGGAAGGAACAACAAATACAAGAAACATCCAGGCTTCCCTACTTTGGGCCTGGGAACCCTTGCCCATGCTAATCACTGCAACAGCTGATGCTTACAGAGTACTGCATACTCTTGGCACTGTTTATCTAGTTAATAATTCTGTGGGATAGTGAAGGAAGGTGTTATTATACCTATTTGGCAAATGAGGCAACTGAGGTTCTGGAATATCATGGGCTTGCCTAGAACACAGAGCTATCTATAGGAGAGCCAGGACTCAGTCGTCATCTTCTAACTCCAAGTTGGTCACTTTACCTGCCATGCTATGCTGCTTTACCTGAGGATTGGGAAGGAATCTGGGATTTAAATCTCTCTGAGAAAAGACACACATCAAAAATATTTTGCCTGGCTCCTGGATTTGAACACAGATGAGAAAATGCTAAGTGGGGCCATTGCAATGTGATCTTACTTCCTTGGCTCAGTGGCCTCATTTGCTTGGCTCAGTGTGCATCAGTATTCTCGGGGTTTGTGCCTAGTCTTCCCTAGTTCCAGTTTTCACCATCACAAAGAATAGTCATTAACAGTCAAAACAATACTGTTTTCAACATGGATTAACTGCCAGAGAAACAAGGAAGAAATTGATGTTAAGACTTCACTAGGCGTTCTTGGTACATTTGATCCCAGTGAGTTTCCGGTGAGTCTGAGCCATTCTCTAACTGCTTGGGGAGTCCCAGTTCCCTCAAGTTACAAAAGAAATGGGTCAAGACATGGATGGGCCCTGATCACATATATTTTTTTTAGGGTATGCTGCCAACATGTGGACATGTGAGTGACAGTACTTGGTCTTGCCTTTTCAGAGCTGCCAACTTCAGGAACTTTACCTTCATCCAGCTAAATGGAGAGTTTTCTCGGGGAAAGGGACTTGATGTTGGAGCCCGCTTCTGGAAGGGAAGCAATGTGCTTCTCTTTTTCTGTGATGTTGACATCTACTTCACATCTGAATTCCTCAATACGTGTAGGCTGAATACACAGCCAGGTATGGATCCCCTCTTTGTCACACTCAGGTGGCACTCAGCCCTCGGGGCCCATGTGTCATTCTCTTTATGGGTCAGTCACTCCAATCTCCTGCTTCTGAATCAGGCTGTTTACCCCAATGGCAAAGAAAAGGAAAACCATCAGTGTTAGTCCATTCTCAAACTGCCAATACAGACATACTCAAGACTGGGTAATTTATAAAGGAAAGAGGTTTAATGGACGCACAGTTCCACATGGCTGGGGAGAACTTACAACCATGGCAGAAGGAGGAGCAAGGGCAAGTCTTACATGACAGCAGGCAGGAGAACATGTGCAGGGGAACTCCTGTTTATAAAACCATTAAATCTCTTGAGACTTATTTACTATCGTGAGAGCAACACAAGAAAACCTGCCCCCATGATACAGTTACTTCCCACAAGTCCCTCCTGTGACATATGGGGATTCTGGGAGCTGCAGTTCAAAATGAGATTTGGGTGGGGACACAGCCAAACCATATCACCATCTGGTTTGATTTCTCCTTTGGGGCTACATCATGGGCCTGTCAGCCACCATACTTCTGGGATTCTTTTCCCAAGTTCATGTTTATAATCTCTCTTCCATCTGCAACTGGGAGGTCAGCTTTTGTGTACATTTCCAAGAGAAAGTGTGGTGGGGATGATGTGGACCTGGAAAACTGCCCAACCCTAAACAGAAAGGAGTACCTGTGGGCAGTTACCTAGGGTAGAAGAACTCTTCGCAGAAAGAACCCACAGAACAAAAATGACTTTCACATACTCCACTCATAGGCAATGCTGCTATTCAGCTGATGAGCCCTGGCACAGCCATGCCCATTGTTAAAATATAGAAATTATTCTGTTAAATAAATAGCAACCACCCTAGACTCTGAGTCCAGTCTAACTGCCCAAAGTCGCCCTGCCCCAAAGTCAAAGTCTTAAATGGTTATTTAAGACTACCTCATGAACCAGCAAGTAAAGGGTTAGTGTTTGGTCGGGGGGGGGCACCAGGACCCTCTTTTACACCCACTCCCACGGGTGATGTCCAGTGCCAGTCATGGACTGTCAGTATTTCAAATATGATTCTTGTGCTAGGAGATCAGAAATATTTGCAGATCTGACTGTCTGGTCTGCTTGATGCTGTACTTCTAAGACTCATTTTAGAACCGAATAAATGGAAAAGGAAAGGTGGGTGCAGGCTGAGAGCGATGTTTCACACCTGTAATCCCATCACTTTGAGTGGTTGAGTCAGGTGGATCACCTGAGGTCAGGAGTTAGAGACCAGCCTGACAAACATTGTGAAACTCCCTCTCTACTAAAATACAAAAATTAGCTGGGTGTGGTGTTGGGCACCTGTAATGGCAGCTACTCAAGAGGCTGAGGCAGGAGAATAACTTGAACCCAGGAGGTGGAGGTTGCAGTGAGCCGATATTGCACCTTGCATTCCAGCCTAGGTGATAGAGTGAGACCCCTCTCAAAAAAAATAAATAAAAGTTGGTGCAAATATCTGGGGTGTTTCAGAGGGCCAAATGTCAAGGAACTGTAACTTTAAGTGAATATTTCTTTTCCGGTTTGCAGGGAAGAAGGTATTTTATCCAGTCCTTTTCAGTCAGTACAATCCTGGCATAATATATGGCCACCATGATGCAGTCCCTCCCTTAGAACAGCAGCTGGTGAGTAATTACCCTGCAGATGCCTCTGTGTGGCTCTGTTTAGTGTCTGTCATTACCAAGGGCACCTGACCATGAGCAAAGGTGAGTGGAAATCTGTGCAATGATTCCCTTAGTACGTAGTTTTTAAGTTTGGCAGATGTGCTGGCCTCTGCTCCCAGTGCCTCATTGATTAAAAGTGCTTGCAATATTTAAAGTGGAAAATAAATGGAAGCAGTACCTTACAGAAAGGTAATTTCACACCTTCATAGTTTCCATCAATGGTTTTTGGAAACTAGTATTGTTGCGTTATGGATGCAGCACAGTTTCTCTTGATTTTTACAAAATCCTACAAGGTAACAAAGGTGAGATTTAGGTTCCCATTTGACAGAAGTCAGAAGGGGGTGGCTCACCCGAGAGAGAGAGAGAGCAATTCCCTGGACCTTACAGGTAAATTAAAGTCTTTGTGAATTTGAAGTAGAAACTCCTAGTGCCCTTCCCATAATGCCACTGTTCCCACACATCACTGTGCATGGGTGGACATTAGTGTTAAAGGAATCACTGGCAAGGTGGCTCTCAAAGGAATATTGAAAGGACTTCTCTGCTAAGATCTGGCTGTATAGGTGATGGATAGTGGATGTACATAGCCCCCAGGGGTCCCTGTAGGCTGAGATGTCTCTGTTGTCACAGGCAGTTGGTCCATTTTGCAGAGAGGCAGTGCAGGCAGCAAAAGGCAAGGCAAGCTGGAAGAGGATCTCTGTGTTGCATAGGCATGGCACCCATGCATGGAATTTCTCAGCTCAAGCTAGTCTGTGATCTTTCCCTGCAGGGAGATGAACCAGGTTTGTCTGAAGCTGTGTTCTGGCTCAGGCTGTATCTCATGGTGGTCCTCCCATCTGAGGGATGTCTGTTCTTCCTTGCTTTGGGTAGGTCTGCCTCTTAGACTATTGAGGACCCCTTAGGATGGAGGAAGGGCATCTGCTGTGGGAACCTGAAGACCTGATGGCACCAGGTCTCTCACGCTTCCATGCAATGGGAGAGTAAACTGATTTCCATCGAAAACACATGTCTGTGAAATTCTTTCAGTATTGACTTTGTGTGTAAGCTTCCAGAAATAGTGAAACCTGTTCTATCCAGCCCCGTCCTGTGCCTTTCATCCTCTTTTTCCCAATTAATCTCTAGAAGCTGATATTATGATATTTCCCAGAAAGTTTCTACTTTCAGGCCCTCAGGATGGACAACATCCATGTCTTACCATATCCCAGCATGGCTTCATTTTGCGGTGTACTAGATTTACTAATAATATAGTTCCCTTTTCCCCCATTGGAATTTTAATACCACAGATATCCTGTGTATATTTTTTGTACTGTATGTATATCTGTACTTTATACATGAAAACTGAGTTTTTCACACGTTAAGAATCAGTTTTCAGCTGGGTGTGGTGGCTTATGCCTGTTAATCCCAGCACTTTAGGAGGCCAGATGGGAATCACTTGAGGCCAGGAGTTTGAGACCAGCCTGGCCAACATGTGGAAAACCCATCTCTGTTAAAAGAAAAATACAAAAAATAGGCGAGGGTGGTGGCACATACCTGTAGACTCAACTACTCAGCAGGCTGAGAATCACTGGAGCCTTAGAGGGAGAGGCTACAGTGAGGTGAGATCGCACCACTGCACTCCAACCTGGGTGATGGAGTAAGACCCCGTCTCAGAAGAAACAAAACATAGTTTTTTTCTATAGTCATCTGCTACTTACAGTGGAGATATGTCATGATAGATCCATTGTCAGGCAATTTCATCATTGTGCAAACATCATATGGTGCACTTACACAAACCTACATAGCACAGCTAACTACACACCTAGGCTGTGTGGTATAGGCTATTGCTCCTAGGTTACAAACCTGTACAGCATGTGACTGTTCTGAATATTGCAGGCAATTGAAGACAATGGTGTTATGTATCTAAACATAGAAAAGGCACAGGAAAAATACGGTGTAAATGATTTTTAAAATGGTTCCCGTGAAGGGAGCTTGTAACACAGGACTGGAAGTTGCTCTGGGTGACTCAGTGAGTGGATGGTGAGTGAATATGAAGGCCTACAACATTACTGTACACTACTGTAGACTTTATAATCACTGTAGACTTAGGTGACACTAAATTTATTTTTTAAAAGTTTTCCTTGGCTGGGCATGGTGGCTCACATCTGTAATCCTGGCACTTTGGGAGGACAAGGCAAGTGGATCACAAGGTTAGAAGTTCGAGACCAGCCTGATCAACATGGTGAAACCCTGTCTCTACTAAAAATACAAAAATTAGCTGGTCATGGTGGTACACACCTGTAATCCTGGCTACTGGGGAGTTTGAGGCAGGAAGATCACTTAAACCCAGGAGGCAAGGTTGCAGTGAGCCGAGATCGTGCCACTGCACCCAGCCTGGGCAACAGAACAAGACTGTCTTCCACAGGGTGGTGGAGGGGAGGAAGGAGAAAGTTTTCTTTTCCTTAATAATAAGTTAACCTTGGCTTCCTGGATGATCAGCATCTTATATGCAGCCTGTTGTTGATGGAAATGTTGTTATGCAGTACACAAGTTATACTTATAAGAAACCATTTTTAAATCATTTACACCATATTTTTCCTGTACCTTTTCTTGTTCAGATACACATTGAACAAGATAATGTAACACAATGTAATACCCTTGTGTTACAATTGCCTATGCTTACAGTTGTGTGATTAAGCAGCACATGATATCACCCTCATTGAGACAGAAACTTACTTCCTTTCCAGAGTTCTAAGCTTCTAATTGGATGGAAAGTGAAACAGGATACAGGATTTATTTTCTTTCAGCCAATCAGAGTTAAGGTTCCTTTGGTTTTAGGTAATGTATTGTTTTGCATTTGACATAGAATGTGATTAATATTTCCAATTCAAACTCATAAAGACCTTATTTGCTTGCAAGGAATTCTCATTTTACAATCCAGGGGTTTTATCCTTGTACTATTATTCCTTCAGAGGAGGAGTTCCAAAGTGAGTTAGAAGCACAGTGCAGTTAGGCAGGTTTCTCACATCCTCAGAATTAGTGGTCAAAGCAGAAACCACTCAGATTCCCTGTGTCCTTTGCCAGAGGCTGTGAATTATCCTGCAGTCTCTGACGTTTACTTCTAAATGCAATTTTGACCTTTCCTAGACCATGGAAGTCTGATATTTTGAGTTCAGTATTTATGGCTATTTAGTTTGGTGAAACAGCAGTTCTCTTTGAGATGAAGGATTCCCCCTTCCCAAAAGAAGAGTATGGTTATGTTTTTTACTGGACAAACGAGTTATTGAGCACTTGCTGCCTGCAAAGGACTGCCCTAGGTGCCAGTGGAGAAGTCAGGAGAACTGAAACACTTTGATTTATAGAGGTGAAATGGCTTGTTCAGGATTGCACAGCTAGCTACTGGCAGAGGTCAGGGAAAAATCAGGATTTCTTTATACCAGCACAGAGGAAAGAAATTTGCTTAGGATCTAGATAAGAACTAATGCATAAAGGAGACATCCTGACAAAAATTCCAAAGGAGAACAGGAAACTATAGAAATTAACATAATGGAGATAGATGATGTAGGTGGTGAGAAGGTATAAAATAAAAAGTAATGGTTAGAAATGGACCAATTGGTAGTGACTTCCTATTGAGGGTACCTTTTGGCTGAGTCTTGCAAGAGATGCTACCTATATATTAATACGTCCTTGATAGCCTTCTTGGAATACATCATTATCAAAGGTGAAGGGAGAACACACATCCAGAATGTTGCTGTAATGAAAGTTATTTTGCAAACAAGTGCTAGCCTTTACTAGCATCCCTTTAAATAGGACCACATTAATCAATGTATGTTATTTCTTCTTGTGACAGTTGCCACTGTCATTTGATTAGTGTTTTGCCTGCAGACAAAAGCAAGAACCCACATTTATGACTGTGTGTGTTTCAACTACTGTTGTTTTCCCCTCTAAGTATAGACCATTAGTAATACATACTAAGTGAAACTATGGGATTTTATACTAATATTTAAATTTTTTAGTTTAAACCTTGCTGGTGCTTTAATGTAGGAACAGTTTGTTGAGAAAGGAATGACTATAATTTAAATAAACGTTAACTTTAGACGTTTCACATTCCTGGTTCAAGTTTTACCAGTTCCTGTTTAGGTCACCACAGAGCCTCCTACCACTTCTATCTTTAGCCTTCTTCCCTCCCCTAGACTTTGGTTTTTTTGTTCATTGTCTGCCAGAAATAGATTTCAAAAACACAGATTCATTCAATTTTTAAAAATCTTTTCTGGCACAGAGCCAGAGATGTGCTGGTAAATATTTAACAACCTGTTCCCCGAAAAGAGGGTGCAGGGAAAAGACCTGATTTATAGCATTTGCCATTTCCATGGTGTAAATACTCCCACCATGGCCTATTTCAGCCTACCAGCCTAACGTCACTGAACACGGGTTGGAAAGAGATTTGCGCAATCCTTGTGAGCTGGTGCAAGCTGGCCCTAGCACAGTATTGCAAGCCCCAAGTCCTTGTTGGGATTCATTGTTCTCCACAGACTGACTCTCAGATGTATGACAGAGAAAATATCTGTAAACCCCAGAACCTGACACATGGTACCAGCTCCGTAGTCACCCAAGCCAGCCCTGTTTCCCAGTGAGCACATCTGCTGTGTCTCCATGGCTGTCACTGCAACTTATGGCCACCTCCTTGCCATTTCTAATGCCCACAGCATCCCATAGACACATCTTGGTCTGCCATGTGATCTCGTCCCTCAGTTAAATCTAATGACTTTGTGATACTGTTCAATGTGTGCACAGCATGCTGGCTTCTGTCTTTCCCTCTCTCTGTTCACACCCTTGACCTCTCAACCTCCCTTCGGAAAGTATTTTACCATTGCAGTTTCATTGAAATCTTTTTGTCAATTGCCAAATGATCATGGCACATCCTGTGCATCCTTGTATTCTGTTTTTATTTATTCAGGAAACATACACTCACTAAGTACCAAAATTAA